AAGTTAGCCTAACTTTTTGATTGGTCAACGCGCGTTAGCGCGCCAACTCAGTGCGCTAGCACCTGCTAACCGTAGTCTGATTTATCTGAGACAAGAATTTTCCTCTTCCTTGGAGGTGCCCTGGACCGGGTTTCCAGCAGTAACGTCAAACATGAGACACATGATTTCCGCCGCGCAATCGCGATGGAGCTCTTTGAAACACTCTATCCCCTGTCGAAGCCACTTGGCACAACCTGGATGCTCGCCAGCTATCTGTTTTATCTCTTTGCATGACCCGGATGATCAGCTCGACCCTGAACGGGCCCAAAGGGAGCCAGCCCTGGTGTCCCGCTCTGATCTGGACATCTCTATATCGGCCAGCACCGGGGTTCCTGCATGTGAGGACTTGGGTTCCATCGTCGAATATCCTTCCTCCTCACGCTTTGATGGCCTCTTCTCCTCGACCGGGTATCTTCGTAAGGAAAGCCAGCTAGTGGCTTCATCGCCGCGCAGGGGTCGCAACACAGGCTCATATTCTTTCGACCGGCAGCCCAAGACGCCGCACTACGCCTTGGCAACCCCGCCATTCACATCGCTTGTCCAGCCTTAGGGTCCATTCACGTATAGTGGCTCAGCCTAACTGCGCCTTCTGCCCCTGTGGCTTGCAGTTCAAATCCTGCGATGTTTTGACACTCACATCATTTTCTGCTCACCTCGTCTCGTAGATAATCTCTCTTTGTGCCCTAGGGACGATCTCGCCTACGTCTACCCGTAATGGCGCTTTCAAATTCCATTGTATCCAGAGGCTCAAGCCCTCGGCCTTCTGTCACCACAGGCGCCGCCAGACGAAAAAAGAAAGTCACTCAGGCTTGCGTGCCGTGCCGCAACAAACGATCAAAAGTAAGTAAGCCCTCGGAATTGAAATAGCGAATAGACCTTTGATAATTCATCTCCCAGTGTGACGCTCAGACTCCCGTATGCTCAGCTTGCTCCAATCGAAAAATCAAATGCACATACTCTGAAGTCGACGGACGAAAAGGCAAGCTTAAAAAAGAGGAGCAGGACGCTTTGCGGGAGAAGACTGCCAAGCTAGAGGATATCTTTCAGAGTTTGAGCTCTGCTTCCGGTCAGGATGCCCTAACCCTGCTACAGCGTCTCCAATTGGATCCATCCTTCGGCCTTTCTCAATTTGCGTTGCCAACTAGGCACGTGCTTGACGAACGGCAGAGGTCTTCACAGCAGGTCATCGAGTTCAGGAATTCGGTCCGTGTTCATCGGCCTACTCTAGGGGCGCGTGCTGGGGTACCGGGCCCTCTGTCGTACCGCACTAAAGCTCAAGGACTCGGGACTTACGAGGATGAATTGAAGGGCCAGGCTATTCGAGTATACGGAAACGGTAACCTTCCACCAGGCTCGTCGATCATCTCCAGCATCGCCGCATTCTTCGATTGCAGCCATGCCCTGTTTTATATATGCGAGCGACATGAGATGGATGACATTTATGACCGTGTATATCGACAACGAGAATCGCTGGACAATGCAACCTTATGTGAACTATGTGCCTTCACCGCCGTTGGCAGCCGCTATTACACTGACGAGTTCGACCCATCCGTCATGGAAGCTTTGTACTGTACGGCTAAGCTGTATGTCGAAGACTCTGTCCAATCAAACTTTCTCCGGGGCATGAGAGCCACACTCTGTATGAGTATGTACTCTCTCTTGACGAAGCCAACGAGTGCTCGTCTTTGGCTGTGTAACTCATCCATCGAAGTTGCATAGTGGGCTAGCTGACAATCTTCTAGCCTCAGGCCTCCATGTGGCTCGTTCAGCGGATTTACTCAAAGACCAATGGCCTCGAGATCTCTGGGTGAGTTACTGCAGACTCTACGGTTCATTTGTGTTCTTGGAATGGTAAGCCAATCCCGCATTGAGAGGTCTTCGGGCGCTGATTTTAGCAGTTGGCTGTCCTCGCGCCTTGGATATCAAGCTGCCGTCAGTCGAGCGGAAATGGAGGTAAGAATAAATTACCTCTTTGGAAAGTCTTGTGACTTAAGGATCAGTAAGTTCACAACACAAGAAATTCGACAACTTCGATATCCAGTCGAAAGTCAAATTCAGGCGCGGTTTTCCGTGATCGGCTTTATCATGGCCGGTATATCGCAGGACATCTACAAATCCACTCCCACTACGTTCGCCATTGTGGAAAAGTATTCCCAATTGTTGAGCCAGTGGAGAGGAGACCTACCACACGAAATTCAACCATTCGGGCCCGTGAGGGGCCGCGATTATGTCACTTCGGAGCAGGATTCGAGATCGATTATTCTACTGCATATCGTTTACTTTGGGGCGCAGATGCTGGTTCAACGACGCCTGTTGGCTGCGATCGCCCAGTGCAAAATGGAAGAACGGTGGACGCTCGACGGAGAGCCTGATCAGGGTGCAAAGATCCAACAACAATGTGTTGAGGCGGCTGAGACTTGCGTCTATCTCCTGGGGATGCTTAAATACACCAGAAATACGTTCCGCAGATATTGGTTATGCATGTAAGTACGAGTCTCGTTCATTGGAGAAACTCTGACGCTTCTCCACTACCAGTGATCCCGCATCCACCGCATGCAGTGTGCTACTTTTCGATGCTGCCTGGCAACTCTTGAATCGGCAGAGAGACAGGGCCCAAGTCCAGCTCGACAAGTCAAAAGAATGCATCAACATCTTAGACGGATACGCGGAAGCCACGTGTATTTCCATGAAGATGCATCAGATCCTACTGCCTCTATACCAAGACCTGCGACTTGCCGAGACCGAGCTGAGTAGCCGTCGTCGAAGTACCATCTACGATCTTCTTGAGAACCCGCGGCCACCGACGGCGCACATGTCAGCGCCAAGTTTCGATGGCGGCCGTACCTCACCGATCCATGCACGCGTGATTCCGGCAATGTACCGCATAATTGAAGTCTTGGAAAATCCAGATTGGAGAACGGATGAGGAGAGAAAGTCGAGTTCTTTGCAGCGAGTGATATGACCCGAACCTGCGGAATTATAGGTGGCTTGAACTGTATCCGGCGGTGGCGGGTGTGCGCCTCACACATGTGTGCTGGTGGCAATGCGACGGTACAATATCCGATTGAAACGCTCCGTGCTCATACACGTAAAGATCAGCACGGTGCCAGGCCACAGCACCCCTGAGTTTACCATCGACTTTACCATTCCTATACCGTGGTGGACAAATATCAGCGTGATTTCTTGTTACGGCACAAACCCAACGCCCTCGAATTGTGCCGAACAGAAGGGACTTGGCTGGGCCCGGCCGGGTCCCGCGACTACTAAGAAAATACGTCTGTGACTGAATGACCCCATAGTGTCATTCAGTCACAGAACCCCTTGTAGTCCTCGAAGCCTTTGCATCTTGAGTACCCTTACGGAGTACATCTCCCTTAGACCAGTCTATTACAATCGAAGAGTCTAGATCGAGGAAGTAAGGAGGAATGTTTCACATAGAAAGGTATACATGGTCTCGAGAAGATCCCGAATTACGGTTTGAGTTCCTTGTCTCTCAGCGAAATAAAGAGAGCGACGACTTGACAGTGACAATTCTTCTGGCGGCAGCCAACGCATGCCCACCTTCGAAATGGTTCCGCCTACTTGTAGTGTGGTCGGTCACCTGGCGGCCAGCCGCGTCAGCTTCGACTTCTGCAGCCTCGATGCGTACTTTTTCTTCCGAATGCATTATTTCGAAGCCTTTGAACAACATATATGGGAGATGTTGCACCCCCCAGATCACATCCTGCGCATTCACTCCTATTTACACCCGAAGACGCGACCGAGCCAGCTAAGCAATTGGCAAGATACGTATTAGCATAACTTGGTAAACTTGGTGGTAGGCATCTCAGATGTGGGGGATGGGACGTTTGACATTGCGGGGCTTAGTCGACGGGCGACTATCGGTTACCAAGGCCGTTGTTCTCTCGTGGCAGGAGATAACTCGAGAGGCACCAAAGGAGACATACAAGGTGGCATTGGATTTTGCGCATCTTGAACTGATATCATCCCCTTGGGTCCGTGGGGCAAAATGGAGGATGGTAGTGAGTGGAAATCTGGGCCCACATTTTAAGACAGCACGAGGCTGCAGTACAGGGGTCGACCCGTGCTTTGTCCTGACAGTGAGTAACCGGTGGCACTTATCCCACCAAGACATGAAGTACTCTGATTGAGTTGGTACAAAAGGATCAAGAACTCAATGGCCTGTCGAATTTCGTTTGGTTCCAAGTTCCAACTCGCAACCCTGATGAGGCATCTGAAGTTGCTGCAAGTGTTCGTCCGTAGGTAACTGTGGTAGGTGTCGGGCGCATGTCGTATTATCAGCATCAACTCCTAGAAGGACGATATGGATATTGTCGTGAGACATGACAATGCTTAGGCTCAGTGGCCTCTTGGCTGACATAAACGGGCTGTGGCTAGTACGCAATGTTCTGACTCTTGCAAGAACCGCTCACGGATCCAATATTATAGAATCTTCCATGCGTTCTGGATTTCCCACGACGCTGCCACGTGAGCGCCCCTAGGCAAGACGTACGTGACTAGCATACTATGCAAGCCTGGAACTGGATCAAAACATGCGTCCTCCATCACAGTCACGATGTACCCACGATCCGTCGCGGCGCGAGCGGTACTCAGGACACAGCCAGAAGTGTTTATCCCGCCGATGATGAGTGACTTGATACCCTTTTCCTTTAGCAAGTTCGACAGTCCATGTGATTCAAGGGCGGAGATGAAGCCCGGTGTTCTCAGGACGGTGAGCTCCGGATCGAGATGTTTTCTGGCCGCCAGTGTCTCCGCTGCACGGGCCAGCCAAGGTATTTCGGAAAATTTGGCTTCGTACATCTTCCAGTTGGCCGAGGTCCCCGAATGTGTAGGAGACTCTGAGACGGGTGAGGCATGGATGAGGCAGCGGAAGACGGCCATCTCTTTATGAAGCGCCCAGTCGCGCATCTGTGATGCAATGTTGATGACACTATTGGCAGCCACGTCGCCGATCCTCGCAAGAATCATGTTCTGGTAAACCGTGAGCAACACTGCCGTTTCATGAGGTGAGATCGACAGCGATGAGGCTGGGTCGCTGGGTGGGAAAACAGTGTTTGTCATGGTCAGCGCGACCAAGATGGCGACCAAGCAACGATGGAGACGAAGCTGCCCGAGCAAAATTATCATACCTGCTGCTCAGGATACACAATCAAGGTGTAGAACGATCCAAGGCTTAAGTGGTGTTGACGATATATTATGGGGCGGAGATGACGATTAAAGCCGAGATGCCTATGCAAAGGCGTGCTCTGAGGCATGGAAACTGCCGTAATGAAGTTGTTATCCGCCATCGTCGGAAATTGGCGCCCGGTCGGGGGCTATCGGACGCCTTTGCAGAAGGCCAGCAATTGTGAGCGGACAGTGGGGGATGAAGTCGGCCACAGGGAGCAATGGTATACCATAGGCTTAATGCCGGCCATCTGCTTCCTGCGCCCCAATGGTTTTTTCTGGCTATCAGCCTTGTTTTGAGCCAAACCAAGGGATGTCACTGCATAGGGGCCTACCAGTGTATGCCACTATTCGGGTTGACTTTCTGGATTCCTGGTAGAGAACATTAAGGGTGGCCCGAGAAAGTGAGTTGGGAGACCACATCACTCAGCTAGAATGGACCGGTAGACCAACCCAAACTCGAAGCATTGGTCGGAGTAGCCAAGATGACTCGGAAATAGGTTTTTTTTTT